AAAAACGTTTTAAAAGTGCAACTAAACCATGACAGACCTGTGCAAAAAGTATTTGGCTTTAATTAAGCATAAGGCTTACATGCCAATAAATAATCTTTAGCCTGCGAATTAAAAAAATTTTCAAATATACAAAGAACTGTATCTCCATATACTCTTTCCTTTGCAGGTCTCACAGAGGCACAAAGCAAACGAGCCTCACGTGTCACCAGCTCCCGCAGCTTTGGCACCAACGTCAAGCCCTCCAATGGCCTTAGCTTTGACTGCCCCGAGGAGTTCGGCTACTACCCGCACCCCTCGGACTGCACTCAGTACTACGTGTGCGTCTTTGGAGGAGCGCTGCTCGAAAGCTGCACAGGGGGCCTGATGTACTCGCACGAGTTGCAGACCTGCGACTGGCCCCGTAACGTCGGCTGCGAGTTGGTGGACACATCCTCGGAGCGCGGCCCCGCAAATAGCCAAAGCCAGAGCCAGACGCACACCCAGGCGCAGCAGCCTCAACACGTGCCCAGTCGAGTGCGCTTTGGGGCCGCTTTTAGCAGCCAGAGCGGCACACAAAAGGTGCCTACGGTGGCGCCACAGTACCACCGCTCTCCGCCCCAGGTGATCCAAGCGCAGGTCCAGCACATACCGCCTCCGCCTCCTGAGCTGCGAGTGCCACCCAACCCGGTAATCACGTCGCGGGGACAACCGAAACCTCTGATTGACTCCCAGGAGGAAATTGCAAAGGTGAGTAAGGGTCAGTCTGGCGAATTGACTTAAGAATGTATACATTGTAGGTTAGGTAAGCTCCTGAAAAGCAATACTTTTTATAAGGAATATTGGTATGAAGTAACTCATATGTAATTCTAATCGATTCTTGTTATTTAAATTGGCAAATAAAATGTTAAACATTCAAAGTTCCTTGTCTGAATATAAAAACCTAACAGGTTAATGTTTCTATTTTGTTTAGCTGTACGTTGATGCTCAAGAAACGCTGCCGCCCGTGGAAGAAGAGGAGTCCGATCGCCAGCAAAGAGTTTATCGCGGTCAACCCAGCACCGTTAACCAGGTGCAGCGCGATCGCGACGGTATCATCCACCAGGCTAGTATTAATGCAATTCCCCAAGCTGGCAAGATCGGATCGTATGCCTTTGGAACGGCCTACAGGTAAGCAGTAATCCATGCTGCAAGTAGATCATTTCTCATCTATCGTTGCTTTTCAATTGATTCAACTACTTTACTGATGCTAAATCAAGTCCAAATTTTATGCAACTCATCGTATACCATGCTCTTTTCTCTCATACATCGCATTCTGCACTATCTCTTTATCTTGCTCCAACCGACACCGACACGACCAAACTCCGAACTCAAAATCTGGACAACCATACCGCTTTTGTGAAAATCACTGAACACAAACAGCGAAAGCTTGAACGACGACCAGACGCTCGAATACGAACTGTCCCACAACCGACTCGATAAAGATAAACGGCGCAAACGTCGCGACCTTAGCGCGCGGGTGACTGAAACTTCCCCCGCAGAGCCTTCAGGAACAGAGAATTCCTACGACTCCAACACTTCGAGTGAAGTGGTGGAGCCAGACACCTTGAGCACACTTTCGATTAGTAGTGAGTCCTCAAACAGCTCCAACAATTCAAAAGAACGCTTCGATGAGGGAGCGCCCGCTATCACTAAGCCACGGAAATACTCCTCAAAGATCAGACAGCCGAAAATCGAGAACGCCATGGAGTTTGACTACGAACAGATCCCTGACGATAACGGCGAATTAGTGGACGGAGATGAAGATGGAGACGAGGGTGATGTAGTCACGGGAGAGTCAAAGAGGCGGGCGCGCCAGCTGCGACCTGTTTCACACGCGTCATCAAAGTGGCCAGGACCAAACTATCGCGCCATCGACGCACCCTCATCCACACAGTATTCCCAGCAAACAGGCTACAGCTTTGGAAGTTACAACCCGTACCTCTCGCCGCCTAATCCTGTCCATACCCAAGCACATGGTAGTCACAATTATAATCACTTAAGTTCCGGCTACCAACCCTACCAGCAGCAGCAGGTCGTTCCCGCTGGCTCCCTCCCCCAGCAAAAGCCAAAAGTGGTGTACACCGGCTATAATCTGTCTTTGCCTCCGCCGCCTTTGGAGGACGACTTTCGACCCATTGCAGGGAGATACTATGGTGCGGCAGCCACAGGTCCAAACAATCAGCGACCCCCCAAAAACCAGCAGCAGCAGTCGAGCGCTGGCGACCTGCTTCCCTACCTGATTCAACAGCTAAAGGAACTAAAGGAACGGCGCAAGCATCTGCAGGCGGAAAACTTTGCCTACTTCCATCTGGACAATCAGCCGGTGAGCCCGGCCCCCGCTTCAGGGACCACATTTGTGCCCACAGCCAGCACCACCTCGCATACTCCCTTTGCCTACTACTCCCCCATAGACCCATCAAAGCCCGCACACCAGGTGACTCCAAACGGTCAGTACAGCACCATGGGTGGATTCTTTAACAACCAGAACCCGGACCAAGTCCCCTACACCGCCAACTACCCCGGCAAGGTGGTCTCCCATTATAGCATTGGCGCTGCCGACGGACAGCGCAGCACCACGGAGAGCAACTACTTCCAGTACAACATTGTAGCCAACCAGAATATGAAAGGAATATTTAGCACTGCCAAGCCGGTCCAGGTTGGGCACTCTACTATTAAAGTTAGACCGCCTGTTACGCCGCTGCAGGTGACTCAGAGCATCAACGTGATATCGGCCCCTAATCTGGCCTACAACAGGCCCAATAGTCTACAGCAAGTTCCGTTCCGTGACATTTCGCACTTGCCTGTGGGCATTAGCTATGCCAGCAATAGCACTATGCCAGAATCTTACCAGACCTTCACCAAATCAATCAGCACCACAGAGGCGCCGCTGCGCGAACCGCCCACGACAACGCCCAAGTCTAAGCTGACAAACTTTCAATTCAACATCCACGAGTTCATGGCCAACCTAAAGTCCAGCGATTTGGCCAGTGTAAGCCCAGCCGTAAATCCGTTGATCAAGTATTTCAAGCAGGTCAGTAGTGACGGTAATGGAAATGTCAATGGCAACCTGCGCAACGCGCTGGTTCTTCGTCGCCCTGTTACAGGCATTACAAGTTCAACTAGCAGCTCTATCACGACCACTCAGATTCCGACCACGCCGAGTCCAGCGACGACCAAAACTCGCCTGAGAGTCAAGCCGACAGTGCCCACGCCTGCCACTCCGTCCACAACGAGAGCTCTCAAAGGCTACGAAAACTTCATCAAAGGCATTCAGAACCAACTTAACCAACAAGCCTCAAGCCCAAGTCCTGCCTCCAGCACATCGACCACCACTCTGCGTGTTCCGACCACCACGACTCCAGACAGCGTTGACTATTACGACGAGGATTACGAAGAGGATGAGGACATACTGCCTCCGTCTCAAATGCCTCCTTATATGCCCATGTCTGAGACCATGGCTCCTCCACGCCCACAAATAACGGCAGCCACCCCGGTCCCCGAGTCTGCTGGAAAAGTACGACCAAACTTCCAAACGGGCTTCCTGGAGGCTACGACAACTCGCCGCCCGTTTCCCAACTTCTCGCAGCTGGACCAACCAAGTACCGATACTGACGTGCCATCGTTCCTCAGTTTTCCCAGCGACATATTTCAAGAACTAAAGCAGCGGCGGCCTCAGCTCCCGGAGTCTAACACCCTCCAGACTAGTACCATTACCCGAACACCCATGGCCACAAGCAGCTTGCATTCGACTTACAATCCAGACCCATCCTCCTCCACGACGCCGCCAACGACGCGAGTGCGATACACAGCGCGGCCGCGTACGCGAGGACAACAAAAATGGATGACGGTGTCACCGCTCCAGGGGCAACAGGACACAAAAAACCTCTCCGCCAGTGGTCCCGTTGTTTTAGACTCCAGCAAGCAGAGCAACCTTGGCGGACTGCAACTGAACTCCATACATGTCGGCTCAGGTGCAGAACGACACAGGTAGCTATATGAGCCGAGGCAAAACGGGATAGTTGAATTACATTATGTCGCTACACAGATACACAAGATATCAATGAATACAAGAAAATAAGCGTTCTATGTACATATACCACGCCCGTCTGCCCACATGGTGGCAATACTGTTTATACGTCTACGTTTAGACCCATTACTAAGCTGTACAGTTGACTAAACAAATGGACTTGGCTTCTTTAACTCTAACTATAACTTAACTCTAACCCTGTGCTAATTTCCCCTTCATATATCTGCTATCTTCCCATCTTTGGTACTTATTATTTTGTTTACTCAGTTTAATTATTTTTGATCTCGTTTTACATTCTTCTCTCTCCTATTTACGAACATATCATCATTGTTTCTTCATAATCTACACAATTAATTTCTGTGAATTTTTGCCAATGTAAATAATCTTCGCTACCTTCACAACAACACAATACCACCCAAATCATCTTTAACAACCAAAACAACAACGTATACAGAGTTGAGTCATCCTCACCGTCATCGCTAGGGCCGCCGGAACCTGCTAATATATTTGTACAGCCCACTTCAAAAGCTCCACCGCTACAGTTAGAACCGAATCATAACTTCTACAATGCATCCATATTTAATCATGGGGGGGGCGGCTATCAGCCACCGCAGCAGCAACAGCAGCAGCAACAACAGCTACAGCCAACACCATTCCAACAAGCGCAACCGCAACAACAACAACATCACCAGCAGGCACAAGCCCCACACCATCCCTATGACTCATCTTTTTATTCTGTTTACGACGACGACATTGATTTATATAGGGATATAGAGTACCAGCAGCAACAGGAGCAGCAGCCAGTTGCCCCCCAGTATCACCCAACAGTGCGCCAACAGCAGCCACACTCAACCTATCGCCCTCTAGAACTCTCGGTCACGCAAACGCCCCCACAGAAGCCGTCTTACGGCAACCAGCCGTCCTTAACCTACACCACAGAATACGATGAGGACATCAATGCGCAGGTTAGGGAATATCCTATATTTATATGTGTAATAACGATCATCATGAAAACAAAAAAAATAAAAATGTCCTTTCATTGTTAGATAACAAATTAAATCTCAGAAATTTTTTGTTGAAAGTGCGATCGTCACGACATTTTTACATCGCTAAAGGTGTTTTAGATTGATAAAAACAGTGGTCTAATTATCTAATCCTTAAAAATTCAATTTCCAAGATAATAAAATATATAATATTATATTATTTGTCTTTGTAGATCGAGCAGGAAAATGTATACGATCAGCCAACGCGTTCTCCGCAGAGGTAAGTAACGATAATCATATGTCGTAACACAGAGTAAATGGGAGCATCTCAAAGGAAACCTCGAGAGACATTACCCAGACAGAAACAGTCAGTCTTGCAGAGAATTTTAACGCACCTGCAGTGAGGAGTCCCCCTTAGACCTCGTCCCCCAATACTAGTTAGAACCATGCCAAATGAACAACTTCACAGTCACAAACAGCCACACACTACATCAAAATTTAATCATTACTGCCAAACCAATACGTGCAATGCATTTATCTATCAGACAGACAGAACAGGTGGCCATACAAAGATTGGAGTCCCGGGCCACCCCTTCAAGCGCCCCCTCCTCGACGACATCCGCCTTGCCTCACGATGCTCGCACCTACTACGACACGTTTACCACACCCGATCCTCCGGAGTTCGGGTCTGCCGACTACAGCTTCTCCAATTCTGCAGAGTACGCTTACGGGTCGGTAGAGGACTACGATCAGACCAAGCGCACTTTGACTAGATCCAAGTCCAAGTCCCAAACCGATACAGATGACTTCGACATAATCGCCAATGTTGTGGGTCCTACCGTCAAAGGCCTATCGGCGCCTCTTACACGACCCCAGAGCACAAAATCGACTGTGGCACTCAGCAGGAGCCCAACTAATAGTTCCATCACCACCACACAAACTGTTAAGGTCACACAGACCGAGACAACAACAACCACGACATCACTTCCACCAACAACAACAACAAAAAAACAAGCAAGGTATTCTGACCAGTCATTGCAAAAGCGCCCTGAAACCACGTTTAAACTTAATTTTCTCTGGCAGTCGCTCTCTAACGCAAATACAACGCAGTTATTAGCTGGCTTTATTATTATTTATATACTTTATAAGCTCTCATTCTCGCATACCACGTGCATTTTGAAAATTTGGCATAATACAGAACACACAGTTACACTCGCCCAGTATGGCTAGGTAGTTTTTTTATCATGCTAGCTGCAGCAATTGTGAAGTCACTTTTGGTTAGGCTCTCGCGATATGGTGTTGTATCATGCCAACGATCTTAAACTCAGCTGACTGTTTAAACACATTTTCTTCCTTTCTGTTTTCCCTGTAATGTGATTAAGTATTTGTATCATCGCATGATCTACTCATAAGATAACCGCTAGGTGTCGCGGAATATAAGTACGCATGAGCATGTATCTATTCATAATTTGCAGCTGTTTGTTGCAACCCACTCGAAAAAGATAACAAACTAAAATTTATTTTGAAATCAGAGAACCAAAAGGCTAGGTAAATAGGATAATCTATACACATAGCAAAAAGTTACTAACACTATTGTGAAAACTTATTCAAATACACGTCTCTTCAACAGCTCGAAAGCGCATGCAAATAAGCCATATAAACAACATGATCCCAACAAATCAAAGACAACTAGTAATCATGCTTTCAGTACTCCAACCACCACCACGACCAGCCCCACACCTCCCCAGAATCCATCGACCTATAGTTCCAATCCGTTTCTTAAAACCAAACTCCAAAGTCTTGCTAAGTCGCTGGTTAACTCTGTCACACTCAGCCTGCCCCAAGCAAATACCACCAAAAACCGTCACGTTCAAAACATTACAAACTCCTCCAAAACAGAGCCAGACCAAGTACCCGCCCAAACCTTATCCCCAATTCCCCCGTTTCCGACTACGCCATGGCCTCTGGTAAAGGACAAATCAGACAGTAATCAACTGGAGCCCGTGGAGACTGTCTTCGACGAAAGTCAGAACGTTCAAGTTCAGACGGCCGAGCCGCCAAAAAGTCGCTCCTTCGAAACCAGCACCTCGCCAAAGTTTCTAGACTTTATCAATGCTGCCGCTTATGGAACTAGTCCGCGTGGAAATTTGCTGGATTCAGCAAACAGTGATATACCGTATCGCGAAAAAGGCTATTCATTCGAGTCAATCTCGAAGGAACCAGAGACCCAACGCAAACGTATTCAAACCTACATCACATCAGATGTGGCGCCGCAGACTTTCAGAGCTCCGGAAAACAGTGGAGTGATACCACCACCGGAAGAAATGGATAGTTCGAGTACAACGCGACCAAATAAGCCAATTCAATATAGTCTGCAACGTGGATCGCACGGTTTTAGTTTGCGCGTGGAGCTGAACCAGATCGAAAGTAATGCGTCAGGGCCAACTTTTGGGGAGAAGAAGAGTCTGTCCTCCAGCACAAGCACAACTTACCCAACAACACTTGCTGGTTTGACTGAGGAGTCTGGCGATATTATACCCACAACATATTCCCCACCTCTTCGTATTTGGCGCAATGGAAGACCCACAATTCAACAGGCCTATTATAGGCCAACAACCTTAAGTCCCAGCACAACTACAAGTACCAGTACGAGCACACCAGCTCCTACCACCTCCAATGGCAATGTTGGGTCTAAGAGCACCATCAGGACCACTACAACACCAAATGCTTTGACGGCGCCAAGCACGGAACGGTATATTATTCCGGGACTGAATTATGCAGGCCGCGCCAATTACTTTAAAGACAGCCTAAATCGAGTGACTGCCAACCCGGCAGTGCGATATGTCTCACCGTACAAAAGTCTGGAAAACTTGCTCCAAGAGGATCGCCAGCACCAGCACCACCACCTGCGAACAACTGGTAGACCGCGATTCACAAACGCACCTGCCTTTCCGCCCTTCCTTCAGACTACTTCAAAACCGCCAAAGAATCTTTTCATGACCACATATGAAAGAAATACCAGTCAAGATGTTTTGGCCACAATGGCAACAGGAAACGCACGTAACTTTAGCGTAAGTGACGCTATTCTCAGCACATTTAGTCCTCAGCGACCTGCGCCAAATATGCTGCGAACCACCACGTCAACAACTACTACTACCACGGAGCCACCACCGCAAGAAGTGACAACTACTACTACTGCTGCCCCAACGACCGCTTCCGCCCTGATCGCCTCTTTGCCCATCCGGGTATCCCAGTCCCCAATGCCCCCCCGAGGCCGTTCTCGTTATACGGCGGCCACTTTAAACAGTCTCGGGAACGGCCTAGACGAGCCCACGACTTATGCTCCAAAGTTTAGGTTGCCATCCGGATATGATCCCAGTCCGTATCAGAAACGGAAGCCTCAACGCGTCCGGGTGTTCAGTAATCAGCGGGTTTCATTTGGGGAGCCAACAGCCAAGCCACAGGAAAAGTATGAAGTCTACAAAGACGCCTTACAAGCCAAGGATTCCGATGATGGCGTCCAAAGTGTTTTCAGCAAGTCGCTTAAGCCAAAAACAATTGATAATGAGGCTAGCAGTCAGGACGAGCCGAGGGCCGAGGCCTTAATCAGGCCGCCATTGCCAACCAAGCAACAAAACAGCATAGAAGAGCCTGGTGTTGCGATAGCCTACAGCTCCACCGAACACGTGGTGGCGATAACAGACCGTCCAACTGTCAAGTTTCTTTACTCTAACAAATATCGACAACAAACGGTAGAACGCACTCTGGCGGAGAGTCTTCAGAACGCCGGGTACATTACATCTGCCAACGGGCGGGCACAGAAATTCAGATCTGCCAACGTCCTCGAACAGCTCAGGCAGTTCCTTGCCGGCAGCGACAGTAACAGCAACAGCGATGAGAGTGGCTCATCTCAATTCGTAGACGAGTATTCACTGCCCGAAATAAAGGCAGCAGTCAATGAGATTAAAGAACTTTACTTGCCCACTGACCAACCTGCTACGACCACTATAAAATCAAGCACGACGACGCTGCGTCCTACCACCACGCCAATGGTACCACCCACCTCCTCCCGACCCACTGCAGCAACTGTTACCGCTGTAACAACGCGACAAGTATCTTACCAATCCAAGGCCAACTCCTTTCCTTCCACTTTAAGCGCATGGAGCGCCGATCCCACTCCAACCGCTAGAACCACCCTGAGCACCTCCGATTTTAGTAGCGCTAGAACCCCGAAAGCCCCACCAGTTTCCCCAACCCCATCCCCCACCATTGCTACAGCTATACCCTCCTTGTTTACACCGCCCACTGCGCGCGCTTCAAGGGTTAACAATATCATAAAGTCGTCGATTGCCGCCGCTGCCCTCGGCTCTAGCCCCTCAACATATCAGCCACCAGTGTCAGCGGCCAAAGCCCAAAAGTTCCAATTCGGATTTGCCCCCAACAATAAGAACCACCAACACCAAACAAGCACCAGCAACCACAATGGCCCCGCAGCCTCAGTGAAGTGCTCTGATAGCACACTGAACGCCAAATGCAACGAGATCCCTTCAAGGTATAGATACCCGTACCGATTGCTTTAAGTTCAGTCGATCCCAGCCATCACTTTACTCTCCTTATCGCTCTCTTTATTATGTCTCTATTAGAATCACCGTAATTTTGATTTTGAACACAACCAACCAACCATAGACTCCCACTCAACACTGTACTGTATTGTACTGTACTGTTCTCAAGCTTTCTCAAGTCTCTCATTACCACTACATCCACCCACCTCTAATCAACGTATTTACAGACACTCCCACTTGGTTGGTTTTGATTGTTGGCTTCCTAGTGTGCCCACAGTATTCTTTGCTAAACAACCAACGCCTTTTGAACAGTATAGATTTTACGTACATCAATTTATACTATCATAGTATTTAGTAATATCAAATTTTACTGAATCCATTGTACAATGACACAAAAGAACATACTAAATTTTTGCTGCTGGTTAAAATGTTGCAAAAACTTTTTTGATGTATTTTTGGAAATTACGTTAGACTATCTTGGATTATCCTTGTATTCGTAACGGTGGAGGCCCGTAACAATAAATCCCTAAAAATTGTCTTAGTTTAATATTTTTTGTAAAATGAAATCGGAATAGTAGTTACAATGTGAGAACTAAGAAGTTAAAAAAACAGGACAAACGATTTTTTTTAAATCATTTACCATCCATATTGAAATTTTGAAATTGAAGTAATAATAAATTTTGAACATTTAAAAGAAGTTTGGAAATTGTATTAATAAATTTGAACACTTAAAAGATTAAAGAAAATAAAATCATGTCAAGCATAGATAAAGGAAATTTTGTTTGGGTCTGCCAGAAAATAAGGAAAATGTTTTGCTATAAATGACACAACCAAAACCAAGTAAAAATTAAATTACTCGCACATTTTACCGAACATTAATTTAGTAAATGCTTGAGTGTTGCTGACAGCTAGATAAACATCACACTCTTTATGTAAAGAAGGTCGGGGAAAACATCTTCCAATATAGGATCGTAGCGCTTCTCTTATTAAAAAGAATTACTAAGACTATATGTACCTTACATTATCTTCTGCCTTTTTCTTAGTGTTCCTGCAGTCTTTACATATAAATTAAACATCTTTGTCTTTCCTCAGCCTATAAATACCTTCAGCCCCAACACGTGACACATAAGTATGCTTTACAACTTTTTGGTTCTCACAATAATATATTTACAACAAATTGGATTATAAAAAATTTGTTTGTTCTGTCGGTGATGGTACACTTGGATTTCGATAAGTGAACGGTATTAATTCGTAATGGGCACTTATGTGTATAGAACAACTAACTAATCTTGCATTCATTCGTATCTATTGCTATTTATTGAGCATGAGCTAGAATTAGCAGCTCTTTACTGTCCCGACATATTCTTATCCTTTTATTTCCTAAACGAATTTCTCAAACAAATTGTAGAAACCACAATAGAAACCGGGGTAGTGCCATTTACGCCAATCAGGATAGAGACGTACTTTCTACGCCGAACCGCGGAACTCACCCACCGTAAGCAAATATAATATTTTCATTAATGATGACCCAGTAAAAGTAAATCTTTTTTTTAGACGGACACGCCCGACACTGAAGCCATCGGGAACCATTGTGTCAAAAGCGCAAGAGTTTGTGGATATATACCGGTACCCTCCGTCTCGCCCGGACCCCATATACCCACAGCCCACGCCCGACAAAACGGCAGCCAAGTGCCGGAAGGATGTATGCCAGTTGCCGGACTGCTATTGCGGAGGCAAGGAAATACCTGGTAAGTGATAGACTGGTTTGGTAAATCAGAATAACAAAGCAGGCAATTCCTGAACCTATGTCCAAGTGCTCCTAAACTAAATAATTAATTGAACAACAAATGTGTAGGCGGGTTGAGCGCCTTGGAGACCCCGCAAATTGTGCTGATGACGTTTGACGATGCCGTCAACATTATAAATATCGATCTTTACGAAGAACTCTTTAATAATAAGTCGCGGATAAATCCTAACGGTTGTCCCTGGCGCGGAACTTTTTATCTATCGCACGAGTGGACGGATTATGGCCTGGTACAGGATCTGTATTCACAAGGGCATGAAATGGCCTCTCACACTGTTTCGTAAGTTGCGTTGGACACCACTCCTATCAGCAATGTTCATATCCTCTCGAAGAGCTTTCAATAACAGTTCGGCATAGGTTCCTTGCTAGCTTTTACACGTTCTTAGCTCTCTGCTCTGCTCTTTCTGTACATTTTTCCACCCGCATTCCATCTGCATTGCTAGGCGACCTACCCGTTGAAAACATCCCTCAGATCGTACTCTTGACATTTGATGATTCTGTAAATGACTTAAACAAGCAGTTGTACACGGACCTTTTCGAAAAAGGTCGCGTCAATCCCAACGGCTGTCCCATCACAGCGACATTTTACGTCTCCCACGAATGGACTGACTACAGCCAGGTGCAGAATCTTTACGCCGATGGACATGAAATGGCCTCGCATACAGTTTCGTAAGTAGATGAAGCTCGATTCTGGATCCCGACACAGACACACACAGCAATAAAACAATTAGAGACAGCACTTAATCAAAGTAATTTTGTAGTTAGTAATATTAACCGCACCCATCCCATATCTAAAGCTATTTAAGCCACCCCAATAAACTTACAAAAATAAAACCTTTCCTGAAACAAAAATCACAAACGCATTTATCAACAGCCATAGCTTTGGCGAGCAGTTCTCGCAAAAGAAGTGGACACGTGAAATTGCCGGCCAGCGGGAGATTCTTTCTGCCTACGGCGGAGTCAAATTGTCGGATGTACGAGGCATGCGCGCACCATTCCTCTCAGTTGGCGGAAACAAAATGTACAAAATGCTATACGACTCAAACTTTACCTATGACTCCTCGATGCCCGTCTACGAGAACCGACCGCCCTCCTGGCCGTACACCCTGGACTACAAGATATTCCACGACTGCATGATTCCGCCCTGTCCAACCCGCTCCTACCCGGGGGTATGGCAAGTCCCCATGGTCATGTGGCAGGACTTAAACGGAGGTCGCTGCTCAATGGGTGACGCCTGCTCGAACCCTAGCGATGCGGATGGTGTAACAAAGATGATTATGAAGAATTTTGAACGCCATTACACCACGAACAGGTACATTTGGTTCCTAACTCAGCGTATTCTAGTTATTCTTTTATTTCATATTTTATACTTAATAAGCTTTCTTATTTCCCCTTAAACTGAATACTATCGTTTAATATATTTAAAGAGCACCTTTCGGCCTGTTTTATCATGCTGCCTGGTTTACACAGCCCCACCACAAAGAGGGCTTCATCAAGTTCCTCGACGCCATTAATGCCATGCAGGATGTATGGATCATAACAAACTGGCAGGCCCTGCAATGGGTGCGAGATCCAACACCGACGTCTCGCATTAACTCATTCCAACCTTTCCAATGCGATTATTCGGTAAAGATACGCCGTAGTTCATTCGGATATAAACAAGCTAATTCAGAAAACAAAATTTATATCGACCACAAACTAGGATCGCCCCAAACGATGTAACAACCCAAAGGTTTGTAATCTGTGGCACAAGTCTGGCGTGCGGTACATGAAAACGTGTCAGCCCTGCCCTGACATCTATCCATGGACTGGAAAATCCGGAATTAGATCTTCACGCATCGACAATGAAGTTGAAGAACCGGCGGCGTAAGACACACCATTGGAAGTCTCGCATGGACCTTTTGCGCATGAAAATCTTAGGCAAGCAGTAGACAATGAGCAATCTAAGATGTCGAAATGTTAAAGCAACTATTTTTTCAAGCTCGAAATACGGAATTCACTCGTTAAAATATTTTTTATATAACCTAATATTTTTAGATAATTTTTTAAAGGAAAGATTTTATAGTTAATTTTTTGGAGAATATGACTACAAATTATTTATTCCCTTTTACATACTCAATACCTATCTGTATATTCCTATAGATTTTCACGTATACGAATATTCTTGGAGTTGCACACGCAATCCTAGCAGGACCCTTGTAAACGAAAATCAATTAGGCATAAGACCGTAGACTAAAAAGTACTAAAAATTGCGTGTTTGGTGCACCAAGTCCTTCGATGACATAACAGTATAGTCGATGGGATTTGGATGCACCAACTCCAAGGTTTCAAACGAGGAACGCATTTAGTGATTAAGCTAATATATTTTTTCGTTAACTTGTGATACAGAGTTACAATTGAATTTATCTAATATTAAACTTCCACAAGCCTTTTTAAAAATGTCCCCCCTTTTCCTCAAGACTCGAAATTAATATGAGTTTTATTTAATGTGTCGTCAGAGACCTTTAATTTTCGTTTTTAATGCTCATAAATACATTTAAGATTTTTAAAAAAGGGAACGCATTCCTTATTTTAAATTGTTTTAGATGCAACCTTTGGTTTCATAGTCTTAACTTATTGGTACCCAATCAACGGCAGTCACTCAGAGTTAATACAAAAATTTCTATTAACCAAATTCCAACCGAATCTCCTTACCGATTCGGGTGGAATTTAGAAGGAAGAGATTTTGATGCACCCCGGAGTAAGAGAAAAAAAAAACGGTGAAAAGCAAGAAACAGATAGAAAAGTCGCAACGATTGCCAATACTTAGCCGTTCTTAAGAAAAATAAAATCTTTCAATACAGGTCATTGAAATAACGTGCAAGCCTTTGCGGTGTAGAAAAAAATATATATAAGATATATTCAAAAGTATTAAGGGGATTCAACATGCAATAATTAGAAATAATAATTGAATAAGTCAAGTTGCAAATATTTTAAGGGCATAAACTATTCACAGCATGTCGCAACATAAGAAAATTTTTGAAAAAACGAGTGAATTAAGTATTTTGTGCTAATGTTTATAAATAAAGCAACACCTATGTATGGATGTACGTATGTTTGTAATAAAATGTAATATTTAATTTGTAATCGCTTATTTTACTCAAAGTGTCCAAATGTTGGTATACCAAAACCCTTATCTGATGCCCTATATAAAACATTTCCCGCAGGTGTTACAATTAGTAAACTCGCGTTTACAACAATATTGAACACTATGTAATTTGATGAGGTGATGAACCCTAGCGTGCAAGCTGGCGAGTTGTATAAAGGTATAAAAAGAGGCATATGTGCACAACTGGAATCACAACGAGTTTAGCACTTGTACTTGATATGTGGGAAACTTGCATTGTACTGGTCCTTTTGACTACCCACTGGCTTGCTATTGAAGCGGGTTACGAAAATGGTTATCCAGAAAAGTGTGTTAGCAGACGGCTCATCAATCGTTATCATTTAAACGAAGAAATCTATGGACAGGGAAGTTGCGTCGGTAAAAATGCAAATCAATTACGCCAAAAACGACGCGTTGACCCCACATTCCATGGCAATCCAAAGCCACGAGGAGAGCAATTGGCCAATAAGTTTCACATAAACTCTTACAACTTTGATCAGACTAACTCTTTGGTGGGACTGGTTAACAAAATTGCCTTAGAGTACCTAAATAAATGCCCGCCGGTCATATATTATGACAGTTTTGTGGAAAAATCCGATGGACTGATTCTTGAAAATTTGTTTAAGGTAAGTTCAAGTAGATGAAAATCTATATATTATTTTACTAACATGTGAAATTAAAATCATCTTGCAAGGGGCCTTTTTTTGTACCCTGTATATAACAGGTAAACAAGATATTAAATTCGTAACTTAACGTTGTTTTAATATTAATTTCAGTTGAAAATACAAATTCTCAGGCATAAAGTAGAAATATTACTTAATTCTAATTTTCTTTCTAGACTATACCTATTACTTTTTTCCATGGCGAAATTAATGGTGACTATGAAGCTAAAAATCCCCGTTTTACAAGCCATATTGATAGCAATTGCAAAAGTTACATTCTGTTCCTTTCGGACCCTCTGATGACGCGAAAGATTATCGGTCCTCAAACGGAAAGTCGTGTGGTGCTTGTCTCAAGATCCACACAATGGAGACTCCGAGATTTTTTATCATCGGAACTGTCTTCAAACATAGTAAATTTACTCGTTATCGGAGAGTCACTAATGGCTGACCCAATGCGCGTATGTAAAATGAATATTGAACACATATCTGTGATATTGGACTTACCTTCTTAACAGGAGCGCCCATACGTTCTCTACACCCACAAGCTGTACGCAGATGGCCTTGGATCGAATACTCCCTTAGTGCTCACCAGCTGGATAAAGGGCGCTCTGTCGCGACCGCATATCAATCTTTTTCCACCAAAGTTTCAATTTGGTTTTGCGGGCCACAGGTTTCAAATTTCGGCAGCCAATCAGCCGCCATTTATCTTCCGCATTCGGACTTTGGATTCCTCTGGAATGGGCCAGTTGCGCTGGGACGGAATAGAATTCCGACTGCTGGAAATGATATCGAAGCGATTGAACTTTTCGGTGGACATCACTGACATCACATCAACGCAGGCCCTTACGCGCGGAGTAGTCGATACCATCCAAAAACAGATTGTGGAGAGGACAGTAGACATAGGGATGTCCGGTATTTACATCACAGAAGAGCGGCTGCGGAAATCGGACATGTCGGTGGGACACTCTCGAGATTGTGCCGCCTTTATTACACTGGCCTCGAAGGCACTGCCCAAGTACAGAGCTATTATGGGTCCATTCCAGTGGCCCGTCTGGGTGGCTCTGATTTGCGTGTATCTGGGGGGGATATTTCCGATCGTTTTTACTGACCGTTTGACACTAAGCCATTTGATGGGTAACTGGGGAGAGGTAGAGAACATGTTTTGGTATGTGTTTGGCATGTTCACAAACGCTTTTACCTTCACCGGGAAATATTCGTGGAGCAACACGCAAAAGATTTCCACGCGCCTTCTAATTGGAGCTTATTGGCTCTTTACAATTATTATTACATCATGCTACACAGGTTCGATTATTGCATTCGTAACGTTGCCAGCGTTTCCCGACACCGTGGACTCTGTACTGGACTTGCTCGGCTTGTTCTTTCGCGTAGGAACACTGAGTAAGAAATTGACAAACTATAACTATTTCTTCACTTAAATGTGGGCTACTTACGCAGACAATGGTGGCTGGGAGACCTGGTTCCAGAACTCGACCCACATTCCGACGTCTAGGCTATACAAGAAAATGGAGTTTGTCGGAACGCTAGAGGAGGGCATCGGCAACGTTACACAAAGCTTCTTTTGGAACTACGCCTTTTTGGGTTCTAAGGCTCAGCTTGAGTACCTGGTGCAGTCAAATTTTTCAGATGAGTATGGGTTGTTCTTTAATTTGCGCCAATCGCCCACCGACAAATATTTCGATCTCTTCTAGAAATATTTCACGCCGATCTGCGCTTCATTTGAGTGAAGAGTGTTTTGCCCTTTTTCAAATAGGCTTTCTCTTTCCCCAAGAGTCCGTGTATAAGCGCAAGATCGACTCGATGATCCTGCTGTCCCAACAAAGCGGTCTTATTGCTAAAATCAATAACGAGGTTAGCTGGGTTATGCAACGTTCGTCATCAGGTCGCCTTTTGCAGGCCAGTTCTTCGAATTCACTGCGAGAAATAATCCAGGAGGAGCGCCAACTAACCACGGCGGACACAGAAGGCATGTTCCTGCTCATGGCGCTTGGTTACTTCCTGGGCGCCACTGCATTAGTGTCCGAAATCGTGGGCGGCATTACAAACAAATGTCGTCAAATAATCAAGCGCTCTCGGAAGTCGGCAACCAGCTCTTGGTCCTCCCGCCACAGCTCGGCGGCAAGTGGGATGGCACAGCGAACGCAGGCCGAGCAATTGGCGCATGATGAACGTAAAGCGACTAGACGCGAAACCGCTGAGGATGCCCAGAAAATGAGTTTTGGAATGCGGGAGTTCAATCTCACCCGCACAACGCTCCGCGAGTTGTACGGAAGCAGGGCTGATCAGTGCTCTGGCCGGCAGGTTGCCGACCATGCACAGTTGGGTTCCAACGTCGAAAAATATAATTACTTAGAAGACGAAGAGCCCCGGGAAGCAATTATATCTCTGGAGCGCTTAGACGACTTCATGGCCCAATTCGAAAGGGATTCTTCACAGGAATTCAGTCCCGACGAATTGTTTGGGCCTAATCCGGAACACGGGGCAAAGCCTGAAAATAATTAAGAATATCATGACAAATTTGTTAAAATATTACAGATCATATAAGAAAGGAAACGGTGAAAATTTAAGCCCAGTTTAGCTTCTATTACCGTCATAAAATTTACATATTTCATTTTGGGAAAAAACCGAAAACAAACGAGTGACACGCACACAAAATAAAATCAAATAATTGGCAGTTTTTTTCTCGCCCAATTTTCTATCGTCACTCTCTCAGTTTAAAGGTTTGTCGAACCAATGGGTGTACTAAGCAGAACAACATGATCACTGATGGATCAGTAATCTGTGATCAAGTTTGATACATAACACATTAATTAATTAATTTTTGCTTGTTTTGTTTTTTATTTTTGTATTGTTTGTTTTATGTTCAAGTTTATATTATTTTAATCCGTGACCAGATGTTTGCAAATAGATTAGGCCGAGAAATGAAATTCACAGGAATTTCACAATGAGTATCCAAGAACTAACTAAGACCTCGCTAGCGAACTAGCGAGGCTTCGTTTCATTTTAGCAGCGGTTCATACATACATACATACATACATACATACATATGTACATATCTATATAAGTAAATTCTGTTGCTTTTCGTTTTGCTTCACACTATTATGTCTAACACAGTAACAGTAAAATACGCATCAAAAATTGTGTTTGTACATGTTTCGCCCGAAAATATTATGATGGTTTTGTGTATGCATTTTGATTTAAAAAGAAAACCGAAAACAAACGAAACACTACCGCGCTTACCGTCACACACACATTAAAATAACATATAATTCGAAAGTTAATTGCGTTATATTTAGCAGTCAGCATATATCCCTTTGAGAGAACCGTGTCAAAGAACGGACCGGAATGAAATGATCGCAGTAAGCTCACCTTAACTGCGAGCGAGTGTTCTCCATTTCCTTTCTCGCTTAGCTTCTCGCCCAAATTTTAACAAACTACGTTTTATTTTAGCAGCGGTTCATATGTACATATGTATATATGTAAAGTATGCCGCTTTTCGTTTTGCTTCACACTATTATATCGAACACAGTAACAGTAAAATAGCCATCAAAAATAGTGTTTCTACATGTTTCGTCCCGAAAATATTATAATGGTTGTGCGTATATATTTTGATTTAAAAAGAAAACCGAAAATAAACGAAACACTACCGCGCTTACCGTCACACACACATTAAAATAACATATAATTCGAAATAGATTTTCCCAATATAAAAATGAACAAATGGGAACGATTTTTACAAGTTTAATTTGCGTTATAACAAAGTTAAATGCGTTATATTTTGCAATTAGTATATTTCACTTTTAGGGAACCGCGTCAAAGAATGGACCGGAATGGAATGATCGCAGTAAGCTCACCTCAACTGCGAGCGAGTGTTCTCCATTTCCTTATTTGCTTAGCTTCTCGCCCAATTTTTAACGCCACTAATATATCTGCTGAATATGACCAATGATTTGCATTAATATTATCGGTTTTTATTTTTCGCGGCCTATCGGTATTAGCAGCGAGCGCGTGAGCAAACAATCGATTTTGGCAGATTCATCGATAAACTGAGGAACACGTAAACTGAAGAACACTTCGCCGGTCAGGCAAAAAAACAAATTGAAAGATAATGCTGTTCAAGGACTGTTTGCCCGCCACGCTGGCATTCCTGGTGGCAGCATCGGCGTCCTTCTCACCCGAAAAGCCAGTTCCTCCGCCCTGTAGGGCCTGCAGTCAGCTGGTTAACTCCTTTAAGGAAGGACTCGAGCGCACAAAACGAGGACATGGAGGCGGGGACACAGCGTGGGAGGAGGAAAAGCTGCGTTCGTACAAGAATAGCGAGGTGCGGCTTGTGGAGATCCAGGAGAAACTATGCTCGGACACTGGCGTGGTCAACAAGGACCACTGTCACAACCTGGCCAATGAGCACGAAGCTCTTCTCGAGGATTGGTTCACCCACAAGCAGACAGAAAGCCCCGACCTGCAATCCTGGCTCTGTGTCGACCAGCTGGCCGTTTGTTGTCCTGCGAACACCTTTGGGCCGCACTGCCAGCCCTGCAGCGACTGCAGCGGAAACGGTACGCTTTCATAACCAAGGGAGATTCAAATCAGCTTCAGACCAGTGGCAAGGACTGTTTTTTTGCAGTTTGTATCAGCAGTTGTCAGCATATTTTAAGTAAAATATGTTGGTCAGCTTTGTCGATGCAGACGTGGACTATCGCCTGGCTATTTCTCCAATGAAATCAAACAGTTCAATGATTATCTCATTTGATCTAACATTTGCAGGCAAATGCAAGGGTGCTGGAACACGCAAGGGCAACGGCAAGTGCAAATGTGATCCTGGTTATGCGGGAGCAAACTGCAATGAATGTGGCCTGACCCACTACGAGTCCTTCCGGGATGAAAAGAAGCTGCTGTGCACGCAGTGCCACGCGGCCTGTGGAGAGGGTGGCTGCACGGGAGGTGGTTCTAAGAGCTGCCGCAAGTGCAAGGATGGCTGGATCATGGACTCGGAAGCAGGATGCGTGGACGTTAACGAGTGTCTGGAGCAGAAGCACCCTAAGTCCTGCCAACCGCAGCAGTTCTGTGTGAACAACGAGGGATCCTTTAGCTGCCTTGAGTGCGACCGCTCATGCGATGGCTGCGACGGCGATGGCCCGGACATGTGCAAGAAGTGTGCAGTTGGCTTTGCGCTGAAGAACGGCAAGTGCAACGGTGAGTAAAATAGCCAATGTATCATTTTACTTCTAAACAACGCATTTACCACCACATGTCTTGCGCCTCCGCCCCACTAAGACCTATCTGCGGATCAACGCAGCAACTACGTGAGCTTCACGCGAATGCTCACCTACTTTGGCATGTGCGTAGCCACCTGCGTCATATTCCAGAGCTCCACCCACATTGCCTGGGGCTGCATTGTTGGTGCGGCGGTAGCTGTGTACATTGCTGTTTCCGAGTACTGGATAAACTCGGAGGCAGAAGGCGGTCACCAGCCAGAAATAGACACGAAACAGTTGGAAGAACTGATTATGAAGTCGTTATAAGCCAATCTTAGCCGGGTCGTTAGGTTTATTCTATGAATAAGATGCTCGAGGGCTTTGATCAGCAGTATTCTTTATTAAAAACCAGTTGCTAAGGCATTCTAACGATTTTTCTATTTTGGTTGCAGTCAGCAGTGATGCAGAGGAGTCCACGCACGAAGACCTGTAGGAGTTCCCGTAACGCACATTCATGCACATCTTTTGTAGTACATTTTAGTTTAATAGGCACTAATATTACCAATTTATATGTAATTATAAATTATTATGCCAAAGTGAATTAAAAAAAATTTATTTGCTTATCAAAAAAATTTTTTTTTAATTGTAATTTTACCAAGCCGGTCAAAACCACATCTTATCATTGGTATCACAATTAAATATTTATTTTGGTTTCAAAAATTACAAAATCACAATTACAGCAATAACATTCATTCAAGTATCAATAATTTGTATTAATATAAGTTACTGACGCATGCTTTGTGGCCATTTTTAAGTCCAGCTTTCTTGTGCAATAAATAAAGGAGTTGCCATGACACGGATGAATCATTGCATATAGATCTAACAAAATAAGCATTTTGGAACAAGCCAAATATACACAAGTTAACAATTACCACCACCGCGTTATATAAATGAAAAATCCTAAATTTAAACTAGCATAATATATACGATCGTTCCATTTGGCCACCAAGGTGTCTTAACACAGCCAATGTTCCTCGAACAGCCCTCGAATTCCTACGATCGCGTTAGATGGCTCTGACTTGTGCTGGCCGCCAACCCAATTTCTTCGTCCGATTCATCCGAATCCAATGGACTTACGCGAATGGCTTGGTACCACTTGTTAGTCAGGTCGGCCATCTGCGACTTGCATTCATGCAGTTCCTGACTGTTGAAGCGTCGCGTAAAGAACGGAATAAAGTACTTGCGATCCAAGCGCCCAAAGCGATCGCGAGCCTGTGTAAAGGTGACGTCCTCCTCCTCGGTGAGCTCGGACAGGTGTTCCGAGTCAATGGCCTGGCCCCATTCGCGGGTCTTCGAGAGGGAAATGGACTTGGACCTCTTCCGACCGCTGCCACTTCGACGCCTTCCCTCCTCAGTGGTGTTCCGCACAGAGCCTCGTGTGCGGCGTTTCTTACCGGGCTTAAGATACTTAAGCAGCGGCATCGTCGAGCCGCCCAATACTAGCGTGGTAAATAGCACAATAATCAATCTGAAAATTTTAAATTTTGAATGAATGGGTATTTTTGGGAACCGAAACGCGCTTACGTAGTCGTTATGATTACGTGGCGCTTTTCCTGACTATCGAGGTTTAAGTGCAGAGATAGCGCGTAGGAAATGGCGCCACGAAGGCCCGAGAACCACATAATGAACTGCATCTTGTTGTTGATCTTATGCTCGCGGAACTTGTTGACCAAAAAGGCGAGAGGAAAAATGTTGCAAGCCCGGCCAATTAGACATAATATAATTGCCCAAATAACAAAAGAAAGTTCTACTTGGTGTTTGAAGGAGAAGATAGCCAGGCCCAGATAGGCAAAAACGCAGGTCTCTGCTATGAAAGCCAGAGTCCTCATCGTTTGCTGCATGGTAATTTGAGTGACCTGTGATAAGGAAAGATTTCAATATTTGTAGGGCTGAAATATTAGATTCAGATTTTTACCGTCGATAGGTTAAAATGCGTGTAGTGAGACATGACGATTCCACAAAACAGTATGGCCATGATACCTGTTCGAAAATAAGCAATGTTAGCGCTTGCGGTCCACACCTAAAATCCACTCATATACCGCTTAAATGGATTCCCTCGGCCAAGACGTAGGGGGCGTAGGTAAACATAAGCATCATGGCAAACTCCAGGGAGGGATGCTTCCGCAAATCGATGTGCTTGAGCAGCAGAGCCGATATCAAGGCGAAGATGACTCCAATGCCGGCAGACGCAAAGAACATGGCGCAGAAGGTCTTCAGCGCACTGAACATTGCCTCCCCAGTGCTGGCCTCGGCATTAGCGTTGGCCGATTGGGTGATGGATGCGGTCAGCACAATCGATATGGCGTCGTTCAGGATGCTCTCCCCAAACACCAACATGTTCAGTATTGGGTCCACGTCCAAGGCATGAAAGATGGCCACAGTTGCGACAGGATCAACCGCCGAGATTAACGAGCCAAAGGCAAAGGACTCGGAAAAGCTGAGTCTAAAAAAAACGCGTTATGTAAAACCAGTTCGGAGTGCAGGTAAACTTACCGAAATGCCACTTCTGCCAGGCCCAGCAAGTAAATCCCTGCCCCGATGACCAGGGCGGAAATCGTTGTGCCAAATATGGCAAACACCAGGATGGATCCGATGTTCTGAAAGAAGTTTCCCTTATGCAGATTGTAGCCGGACTCGAAAATAATAGGTGGCAGGAGGACCAGAAAGAAGCCCATGGGCGAGAATACCTCCTCGCGCTTCCAGCTGCCAGTCTCTCCGGACATCACGTTCAGCGACAGGCCGATAAAGGCGCCCAAAAAGACCACCACAATGCTCTCCGGCAAATACTGGAATCCGGTCTGCAGCATTGAGTGGATCAGCAGGATGCCAAGCATGATTACGCAGATGACAAAGAACAGGGATAGCGAGGAATTGTGCTCCTGCTCGACAGCGTGGGAGTCTATGAGTGGGGGTTCCGTAGCCAGCGAGGATGCGTTGCCCTTTTTCGTCGTGGTGCTTCCATTGACAGAAGCAGCAGTTGAGGGCGACACATTTGCTAGAGGACTGGCCGAAATGTCGGGCGATGGGTTGTGTGAGGAGTTAGTACTTTCTGGAGTGGTGGAGTTGCTGATTTTGATGTTCTTGGCGAGCTCCTGGTCGCCGTTGTCCTCTGCCGCCACTTGAAGGGAAAGACAAACGACAACCGCACCGCAAAGTAGCCAAAACCTCATTTTGGCCGACAAATCGTGAAGTGGTCGCTAATAACGTTCGCATTTAACTTTAGAAAATTACAATTTGTTTTTCTTCGCAAACAGCTGTTTATCGGCCTATCTGATGTTTATCGTCACAGGGTTGCCACATTATTCTGGTCAACTGGCGCGTGCTATTCCATAAATTTAAACTGAAATTGTGCATGTAATAGCGTTTAATTGATTTAATACTACACAAATTATAAAATGAATCTTCGTTTCAGATTATGCCCAGTCACGCGGTGTGGGGGTCACTTGCTGATAGCTGTTGTGCAGATATTTTTCAAACGGGAAATATAAGTAAGGAAACCATAAAACCATAGAAATCAATGGGCTAATACATTGATTTTTAGGCTAAAACTAGCGTTGGAAAGGTTTTAGTATAATTATAAAGCAATCATAACCATAATACTGAGCATATGCTGTTACTATTGGTCCTTGACCTTTTTGACAATTTCGTCACTAGCTCTAACAGTTGCATATATACACAATATTAGCTTAGAAATGATTTTCCTATATAAATTGCTAAAAAAAAATAAACACCATTTGTTCTCAGGAATAAAGTATATGCACATCTGTTTTTTCAGCACACGCGATCTTCTTTAGGCGCCCCGGGGGGTCACAGCTAATTTGAAAGATAATGGGGCTTGTTGTTTTCGGTTACTTTCAGTGAGTATTAGAATTTTTTAAATCAACATGCAAAAAACTGATTTCCGAGCGCCTTGATCTTGGTAGACCTTGTTTGTGTCTTTGTCTTTGTGGCATGACGTGAGCACTTTTTCGATTCCAGATTGTGCGAGTGGTACAAAAACCCAAAGTTGGTGCTCAATATCCCTTGACTAGAGTGTCGGCTGATCTCCCACGAAAGGTCATTCACTCAAAGTTGTGGGGGAGCTAGGATTTCACCAAATACAGTAATCCGTTCAACAAGTCGTTTCGTATTGCGCTTTGTAAAGAGGTTGTAAATTTCACCGAATACCTATAACCGAATTGCCGTACATAAAAAGCAGAGATAGTAATTCTAGACAGATTCCAAGATGTGGGTACATATGTGTGGTGGAATGGTAGCATATAGTTTCGACTGATAAGCTATTATTTCCTGCCGATTCATCTACCCGAATGCTGGCTACCCAAGTTTATAAATTAGCATTTGCCTCTAAAAATCGGCAGTCGAACTCTGGCTGAGCAGGAGGCAAGTGCAAGTCGAGTCTTTGAGCCCTCGTCGAATCCTTCGTTCAAAACCCAAGTAAGTAGTAACTAGAGATGTCGGAAATATATTAAAGCAACAACATTTCCTTAAAAAAAATATTTACATCGCGATATTTTTTGGGCCGAAATATCGATGAATTTTTTTTGACAGCCCTATTAGTAAAGTTCCGGAACCGGAACCGGTTACAAAGCAGTTCATTTTCAAACGGGGTGGCAGCGCCAAGGCGAGCGAACAGCTGTTTGCACGACAGGGCAAAAGCAAAAACGTGGATGCTGAAGAAGTAAGGTTTCCAAGAGTCCCGAGTACGCCAGGAAAGTTTCGCGGCCATTAAGAAGAGCGCCATCCAAAGAGAACACTGCCATCCGAAGAGAACAGAAGCCCGCTCTCTCGCACTTGGAGGTATAAATTCAGAAAACCGTAAAAAGTGTGCGCTCTTTTTCTACAGAACCGTCGCCAAGATAGGAGGTGTTTTGGCTGCGCCGCTGATTTGGTTGCCGTCGCTAAAACAGTAGAATTCAGAATCAGTTTGTATAATTTGTTGAACTAATAGCTTATAGACGGCCGAACAAGCGTGCATATAAACCAGCTTTCTCGCCCGGCGACTAGTTTTGTCTTTGACCCCGCGAAATGTCGCGCCGCACAAAATTACTTTAAAGAAAAGCGATTATATAAAAAAATACACATTTCGAGAAGCGAGCCGAAACCGGAAAATCCCAAAGGCTCGAGGCGGCGGGCGCTGATCCACAAAATTCGAAAATACATAGCTGTGTTTTGCGAGAGTTCGGAAAATCAATTTCGTCAAGCGCTGTTTCTAGCACCCAGCTAATGGGCCTGTTCTCTCTCGATTCCCACAGCTCCAACAACAACAGCACAACCGACCGTAACTCGTTTCGAAGCCCTTCCTAATCAGAACCAAACTCATCGAGCTACAAAACTACCCAGCAAAATGCCGCAAAAGACAAACGGACACAGCGCCAATGGCTGCAACGGAAGCAACGGCAACTCCTACGACATGGAAGACGGAGCCACATTCCTGTTCACTTCCGAATCTGTGGGCGAGGGCCATCCAGGTGAGTGAATGGGGCATCATTGCATCCGCTCCGCAGCCTATTGCATCATATTGGCCAGTGCCCCAGCATGTGCGTTGTGTATACAGATACAGGCACAAATGTACGTCTGCGTCGCCTAAAGATGCTCATAACCTAACCAAATTGTGTCTGTAGGGACCCAGGTCCAGCTGGTTGTCAGACGAAGCCCCTGCCCCTGTATTCCCATTTCCACACCTTTACCGTCTACTGTCTGAGCTCTGACAAAATGGCGACGGAGTGCTATGCCGCATACCTTTGTTGATTGCTACCCAATTTGCGCTCTTTTTGTAGCGCCTCAGGGGAAAGAGGGGTGGCAGAAAAACGTGCGTTTACTCAGCAATGTGATGGAGTGGTATCCCCCCCGGATCGCTGAGTACCCTCCAGGAGCAGGTCCTTTTTGTTACGCATCTTTTGGATTGTCTGGTCCGCTGCATCGGCAGGAGCCACTGTCGGCAGCCTGGGCCACTGTAGAACAGCTGGCCACCCTCGAAACCCCACACAACGGCGGGCCAAACCTTGTGTTTGTGGGGCCGACGCAATTTATAGACTTGTTCTTTATCGCTTGCGGCTCTCACACATTCAGAGAATCTGCGTCATGCGCACCATGTGCTTCTGAATGGAGACAATTGGGAGCGCTCTCTGTCAGCTTTTGTGGGCGCTCATCGGCATTGCTCATGCACTTGTACTTCGCACAAGGCGATCAAAACAAGGGCCAAACTAAAGCAAACCCACGTTGACTTTGTGGCGCTCTAAGATTCAGCTTTCAAAGCTTATCTTTAGGGAAAAATTGGCATTGGCAACCACGTGTTTCGCTCGAGCTCGGGCTTTTTGTCGCTGCCAGCGTTTGTTTATATCAGCGGAAAACCAGCGTTTGAATGTATTTGACAACATCTGCTGATAAGGGGAGCGACCTTTTATACTACACATTGATTACTATGACCATTCTATATTCTATATTGGTAATTAAGTCGGCTAGGCAAGTCAGCCCTAGAGAACCGTGATGACAGGCACCGGAAGCCTAAAAAAAATAATCGCCGAAGGCTTGACAATTATTTACCTGTCTTTCTGTGACGGGTGAGTGACGGAATGGTTGGATTACGGGTTCCTAGTCCCATCTTACTAGCAGAAAACATTAATGTATCTATATAGAATCTTAACTCTCAGCCAAAATTAAAACGCAATTTTTATAAGTCAACACTTTGTGTTTTGCCAATTCATGAGTCTATTGCTGACGCAATGTCCTAATGTAATAGTGGCGTTTCCACGGAAAGTTCTCGAAAGTCAAAGGGCTCCGGTTACGGGGCAAGTTTCGGGACAAGGCGCTGGAAATGCGACTGGTATCGAATTAATCTGAGTCAAAGGATTCCATTCGCAAATCGGCTTCGTATTCCATAATTTTTTGTTTGGACAACGCCATCGACGCTTAAGGCTCGTGTTTTGAGTTAGAGACATAAAGTGGCATTGAATTTCGCAGACTAAAAATTAAAATAAACCGCTGGCCCGGCAATTTTTGCTGTCTCGCCTAGGCAGCGAAAAGTGTTGGGGGGAGCGCGTATTTATTTGGCACAAACGCTGCCATGCTTCGGCCGCAATGTTTGGCGCTACACATTTTCGTAACTCGCACTAACCTTCTCTCTTTTACAGACAAAATGTGCGACCAAATCAGCGACGCTATATTAGATGCCCATCTGAAGCAGGATCCCAACGCAAAAGTGGCTTGCGGTAAGTGATAAAGGAATTATGAATTTGCTCAGTCTACCCATAATCTGGAATCCCATACGCCAAGGCTACTGACCTCTTTGAGCTCGACAAAAGGCACCGACCATAACACATTTGTCATAACGAGCGGACCTTCAAAAAAATAAACTTATTCGTAAAGAAAACATTGCCGCAGCGATCGGCGCGTGTGCAATGCTTTTGCAAGACGCCATAGACGATAGCTAGCATAAATAATCAAAGTGTGCTGCTATGGCGATGGGAATTTTGCATTTTGTAATCATTGGATAAACTTGCGTTGCTATGTATCAAGTTGCACGGAAATATTTTAAAACGTTCCATTTTTTAAATCTAGAAACCGTGGCCAAAACTGGCATGATCCTGCTCTGCGGAGAGATCACATCAAAGGCCGTAGTGGATTACCAGAAGGTTGTTCGTGAGACAGTCCAGCACATTGGCTACGATGACTCCTCCAAGGGTAAGTGTCCATTGGTCTAGGAAGTAACAAAAACTTGTGGGCGGGTTTCAGGATACTTTTAATACGTCTTATTATGAACAAACTTGTAAACCCAATATTAAATCAAAATCAAAAAAGGTTTCGATTGGAAGACCCTAAATCTCCTTGTCGCCATCGAACAACAGTCGCCCAACATTGCCAACGGCGTACACATCAACCGCGAAGAAGACGACGTCGGCGCTGGTGACCAGGTACAGCAAGCTTATCCGTTCTCCTACTACCGCCTAGCACTAAGTGATGCGGAAAGTGTGTGCGTTCGTTCGTTACGTTTTCATTTTGTTAAGTGTTCCCCTTAAATCGTATACTTTTCCATTAACTCGGCTCGCTTGCAGGCCAACCAGAGTTTCATCTTTTTCATTTAAACTAGATCTTCAGTTAAAACATTCTATTCTTCTAGACACGAATCAAGAAAGAACTTAAAGCGATTGTTCTAACTTTGAAATCAGTTGAACCAATACATTACATACCACACTTTTGGATTACGCTGCGGGTGTTCTAACCACATAAATACTAAACCCATTGAGAGATTTATGTAATCATAAAAAGCCAGTTAACTTTTTAAGAAACCCGAGAAAAACCAGTCTTGCATGCGGCATGTCTCCCATTATCGAAAAAAATCGAAGTTTCCAAAACTAAGTTGTAAAAGACGTATCAGACATCAGCTATTTGTTTATTTCATTATCTGCCAAAGAGTATTTATTTATTGCAGTGGAGTCCTGATGAAGGTTAAGCAAGAGCTAATTTTTAGTATATACAACATTTATTTATAACCTAGAATAACAGGGTGAAATAAATCATATTATAAACATTATTTACAGACATTTTCCTGTGTGTGTGCAACATTGCTGCGCTCCTTTTATCTTTCTCTCTCGTTTCATATGTAACAAAACACGATACAAACCAATACAAAATTTAAAACGATAACGTGCATTTTGCAATCGGTGTTCAAAACTCACAAAAGGTTTCGATTTCAAAACGTGCAACGTGCTATTGGCATTGGACCAACAATCGCCCGAAATCGCTGCCGGAGTGCATGTCAACCGCGCCGAAGAAGAGATCGGTGCTGGAGATCAGGTGTGAAATAAGTAGCAGTATCGCAATGGCAATCTCGGCAGGCCGGGATCGTAAGCCCTTTCCAAAGAGCTACGCTTTCTTTGCGTTTTTTAGATTTTCACTTGGTTTCGGGTCAGATATTCATGGTGTTTGGGCGTTCATAAGCTCTTTGGAAAAGGTTTTACCGCCACTTGTAAAATTTGTGTTTATTATATTCCTTATATATTTTCGTAACTAATCGAAGAAGAATGACGATTGTACTTACATTATTTTTGAATTAATTTTTAGTTTTCTATTTGCCACTATATACAGTCAGCACCAACCAAGCAGCACTGTTTCGTCTTGATTGTTATTTGAAGCTGCAAAATCCATTTTTTGTTTGATCGGCAAATGCCTGATATATGATTTGGCTTCTATTTATTTAGTTTAGACCTTTGGTTCAAATAACAAATGCGCAAAACCAAAGCACACAATCGCAAGAACATCACAAACAAAAATATTGTAATCATATTTTGGGTGCTTAGTTGCAATGGAGTTTTCTTCAAAGCAACACTCATATCAATCTAAACCTCATAAGCTTGAATCATCTCCAACCTCCCTAACCTAAATGTATTTTATTTTACTAACTCTTCTGACACTTTTTGGTTTTGGTTGCTTTTGGACACTTATAGCATAGACCGTTACTTAAACGATAAATGCAATTTTTCCAGGGCATCATGTTTGGATATGCCACCGATGAGACCGAGGAGTGCATGCCCCTTACCGTAGTGTTGGCCCACAAACTGAACGAAAAGATTGCTGAGCTGCGTCGCTCGGACGTCTTCTGGTGGGCTCGTCCCGATTCGAAGACACAAGTTACCTGCGAGTACCTTTTTAATCAGGGATCAGCAGTGCCCAAGCGCGTCCACACCATCGTAGTGTCCATGCAGCACTCGGAGAAGATTTCGCTTGAGACCCTGCGCTCGGAAGTAATGGAGAAAGTTGTGAAAGTCGTCATTCCCGCCAAATACATTGATGCCAACACCATTGTGCACATCAATCCTTGCGGTCTCTTTGTCATCGGTGGACCAATGGGTGATGCTGGACTAACGGGCCGCAAGATCATTGTGGACACCTACGGAGGCTGGGGCGCCCACGGTGGCGGTGCGTTCTCTGGCAAGGACTTCACAAAGGTCGACAGATCCGCAGCATACGCAGCCCGCTGGGTGGCCAAGTCGCTGGTAAAGGCCGGGCTCTGCAAGCGCTGCCTTGTACAAGTCTCGTACGCCATAGGTCTGGCGGAGCCGCTATCCATAACTGTGTTCGACTACGGCACTTCCCACAAATCGCAAAAAGAACTCTTGGATATCATCCGCCGTAACTTTGACCTTAGACCCGGCAAGATTGTCAAGTAAGTGGCAAGCGCTAAATACTTCGGCTTAGTCCAATTTACTAATGGTCCACTTTCTCGTCCACAGGGACTTGAACCTGCGTCAGCCCATATACCAGCGTACCAGCACCTATGGGCACTTCGGTCGCACCGGCTTCTCGTGGGAGGAGGCGAAGCCTTTGCAGACAGAAAACTGACTAGACGCTGACACGCCCCTACCACAATCACCGTGGGCTAAAAGGTCAAAGCCATCGTCATCAGCGTCGCCATCAACTGAAACCCCAACACCAACGTAATTTTTAGTTTCGTTTTTAAAGTTAAATCGCATCGGGTTGCGACCTCCTTTGGGCTTTCTTTTCTAACTGCATCTGCGCTCTTCGCTATATAATTTAAACCAAGCTAATGTGTGTAGTCTTCTCACACAGCACTAGTTGTAGCCGTCATACTACCCGCATATATATACTTAATAGAGGGCTCCACCACAATTGATGAGCTTTAGTTATACATATACATAGTATAGACTCGTCCCTCAGCTCTGTTAAAAATAGTTACAAAAATTAAAAAAGTAGTTAGTCCACCCTTTAAATACCACGCAATATAATTCAGTTGACATTAAACTTTGATAACCGCTGCCTAGAAGCTATGCATCATTCTCATGTCCTAATTGTACACATATTTTTGTATCTTTTAATATTTTTCTTTGTTGCATGCGTTGTATATGTTTAACCAAAAGTTTTTAAACAACTCGATTGTATGTAAATTACACACTGTCTTTGTATTTCTGTAACCAACCAACCGTAAGATAATGTATTTTCCTTTACAAAAATATATTAAAATTACAAAAAAATGTAATGCGTAAAGAAACAACAGAATCAGTGTCATGTCTTGTGTTGCAATATATAAACAGACAGAGCAAACAGTCAGCCAGTTCAACCTCCTTCTGGTACTTTACATAGGCGCCGATTAAGATGCCCATAAAATATTTAAATCTGAAATATATTGTAGTGTTGAAGATATGTACACATCAAGCAAAATTTTACATGACAATGATCATTGCAATAAACTTAACCGACAGTTTTAATTTAAACAATGATTGATTTTGTGATTGCTTTCTTTAAAATTAAATAACATAATATTTTTGTACCCACAGGATAGTAAAAATTTCGCCAGAAGTTTGTATTGGAGTGATGGAGACATTTCCGTCCTTATAAAGTATATATATATAATAGATCAGCATAACTAGACGAGTTGATATAGCTGAGTCTGCCTTTCCGTTTAATTATATTCCGTTTGCAATCTTAATGTAATGGCCTAGTCCCACAGAGCACCATCCACCATCTCTTTGAAATATGGTCCGTAAGGTTTTCTCGCCAAAAAATGTTCTGGTTATTCCTTGACGGTGGAATTAACGTTTCTAGCCAATATTTGGACGATGTTTTTTCGGTGCAACGCTAAAGTCTTGGCGCGAATGAATTTGAATTGACATGGCGGCCATATTTGTTTCTGTGAACTATAGGCGTCGAAAGAAAAGAGCTCCCTATGCAGCAATTTGAATATAGAGAAGACATAATCCATTAATAGAAAGTTCAAATATCCATTTAACCACTAATCCATTGCACCAAAATAAAAAAATTATTCTAAAAAGGTTAGAGTTTGAAGACCACCTTCAAAAAATTCTGCTTAAGCCACGGTGACTTTTGATGGAGGGTGGATTGTGGCTCTGTGGGAACACCAGTCCACCATCCATCAATAATCCCAACCGTTACGCTTGGATGGGCTCTGAGGGACTGGGATATAAAAGCTAGAGACTTGAATCTTTCGTAAACTTCCCTTTCTATGTCTACGCATGTCAAGTTCGATCGGAAGTCTAAATCTTTCAAACAATCCTGTCAAAATTGTATAATTTCACCAACCGAAGTTAACTTACTTTCTGGTTTAGTTCACCGTTAATAATTTTATTGATTCCCAATTTAAATTTAAGTTTTGAAGAGCCGCCAATAGTTAAAAGAATACTATCGATATATCGATTGATCATTATCAGTGATCGATTGATGACGGGGACGCCGTCTGTCATAGTTTTGATCTGTTTGTTTAATATTCGCGATCCTTTAAATTTTAAGCAGCATCAGTAAACTGAATTACAAAATACAAATACGGATTGTTTTAGGACATACCTCCGGCTGTGGTGTGAAGGAAGAAATAATTCCATCTTGTGGTATCATATTTATTGCCTGGAGCGCTAGGGCTCCTCTTTCCAAAAGCAGCATATAACAGTCTCAAGTCTTATGGGATCGTCGAAGATTTCTGCAGTCACAGGACAAACAAAAAACACAAATCTTCCAGCGGAGAAGCTGAGGTGCATCTGCAAATATGTGTATGTGTTCCCAACTATTTGCCATGGCCGACAAGGAAATTTTGAGCTGTATTAAAAAAAAGCGCGTGAATACCCAAGAAAAATTTTTTTGGTGGCCAGGTAAAATGTTTTTGTTGTTCATTTCATTTAATAACCATCAAAACTCCTGCAGTTATCTGATCTACTACTTAAAGGATTTTAGAGGCTGTTTAAAAATATCTGGTGGCGCAGGTAAGATGTAGTAGGTGCTTTAAGTTGAATAGACTAATTGGGAACAAGTCGAACTTTAAACAATCACTAGCAGCACACGAGTTTAATTGAACTAAAATAATGAACCCGATTGTGTGTAGGTATATTTTCATTTTAAATTTATAAGCGTGCTTTTCGGGTGAACCATCTGAGCCAGAAGCATAGCGCGTTTTTTTTACCCTTTACATATTTATAAAAACTTATTTTTGTTTGTCAAATCACATTAAGGCGTAAAGGAATACTCTGGAACTAAATAAATTGTATATAACTTTATAATATTTATTTAAATCTGCCATGTCAAATGCTGTCCCTGAATGAATTCTTAGTCAAGGGATTATATAATTATCGTTTATTTTCTTATTAAAATTTACATCTAATCGAATATTACTCATTTACCTGTATAAATGTTTTATTGAAAATTATAATCTAACTTACAAGTTGTTCTTTAAGAAATTATGGCCTATTTGAATTGAGTTAGACTGACCATCGATCCCGCTTTAAATTATTTGTATAGCACCGGCACCAACAGGTCAAGTTTTTGTTTAGTAATTGTACGAAGTAAAGTTAAAATATTTAGATAACAGTTGTAGGACGTATAAAAAAATCGGATTAGCCGCCGATTTTTTAAGCCGCTGCCGTATCATAATGTACGCAGCAACAGTAAAAAACAAATAGAAGCCAATCAAGCAGGTGAGAGACCACAAATAGTGCATGTCCTCGAAACCTAGAAAGGCCAGCAAAACCTTGGACTTCTTAAAGGAGCAAAAGATTTCCGTGTCCTCGCAAATTGTGTCCGCTCTTCCGTAGTCGTACAGGGAGGCAACTAGGCCTTCCATACTGTGGCGCAGGAAACTTAAATGCATCAAAAACCTCATAAGAGGGGATATGTAGGTGCCTCTGCCATACCCGATGCCGTGTATCGAAAGCAGAATCAGGGGCACGGCTACCACTGGTCCCATGAACATCGCATTCTGGAAGAAAAGTGATCTTAGTAGGGAAACAAACAGGGCGGACACAAGCGCTTACCACCAAGCTTAGCCTACTAGAGATCAGCAAGCCAAAACTGTCGGAAGTCAAGGCCGTAACGAAAGCTATTGTGAAAAGCATTGCAAAACGGAACCATTCGAGTGGCTGGCTGGACATTAAGTACACAATGGACAGATAAATAATGGCGAGGACGAACATGGATGGCAGCTTGGAGGAAACCATCGCAGCGTAATACGAGCTAAGGCGGTACCATTGGTTGTTGTACTCCCTCTTCAGCAGATTGATTTCCGTTGGAACTATGTTGGACAACATGTATAATAATAAACTCATCTGTTCGAAAGAAAAGGCACTCACAGTATAGGAGCACTGGCATCATAGGCAGGTACAGGTATGCTATCACGATAGTGAACATGAAACCGAAATTGAAAAGTGCTTTAGAGGCCGACGTTCCCATTCCAAAGTAGAGCGACCCCACCAGTAACGCCAATACTATGTTCATGTAAAACTTCAGCTTAATGTACGACTAAGGAATTGAAGAAAATATAACTATTAGAGCAATGCTATGTGTTTCTCTGGGGCACTCACTTTGTCCCTCCACATTTGGATTAGCATACGCACTAGTAGAAGCTTGTACTGCATCCACCAGCTACACTTCGCTTGCAAAAGTTTTGGGCTGATCTCCTCTTCAAATTGATCCATTTCGTAGAACGAGGATGCGCCCGAAGTGGTGTCGGTTTTGGTGGGAGTCACCTTGCCATCCTTCGATGGAGGAGTCCAGCGCGCAACTTTGCCGTTGCCAACGGCCTCCACCATTGGATTGTGATAGCATTTTCCGTACTCGAGGCATGCCACTTCTATGATAAAATCTGCCGGGTTGTGGGTAATTGGACAGCGCAGCCCCAGTTGCTGCATGTAAGGCACAATGTTGGAACCGCTCCCCTGGTAGATGCACTGGCCTTCGGCGAGGACGTAGACAGTGTCGAGCATTTCGAATATCTTGCCGGATGGCGTGTGGATTGAGCAGATCACAGTCCGTCCCCCGGCGGCCAACATTTTGAGCAGGGCAATGCACTGAGAGCTCGACAAATCATCCAGGCCGCTATTCGGAATCGGGTGGGACGTTAATCATTTATTTTTTATTTGTCTCCATATACTCACGTCGTGGGCTCGTCTAGAAAAATGACGGGCGGGTTGTTGACCAGCTCGAGGGCAATGCACAAACGTTTTCGTTCACCGCCCGAAAGCTTTAGAGCCATGGTGTCCTTGGATCCTTTTAGTCGAAGCATTCCCAATATCTCGTCAATCTATTTGAGGTTGGGGTTAAAAACAAGAGAAAGAAATGTCTTACAATTAATCTTACCACTTCTAGCTTTTGCTCAAGGTTGAGTTCATTTCCCAACTTAAGGTTTGCCGCCAAAAGCATCATTTCGTGCACCGAAAACTGCGGATCCAAAACATCTGTCTGTGATCAAATACATTGTTAGCTGAACGGTCATAATTAAACGCCTCGTACCTGCATTATGTATCGGGACATTTTGCGAAAGACCCGCATATCGCGTGGACTGCTGTTGACTAATATATCTCCAGAATATCTAACGGCGCTGCTGTAGAATATTGATGGATTATTATATAGGGTTTCGAAAAGTTGCGCCATACCCAAATCCCGCTAGCAGGTTCAGCAGTGTGGTTTTACCGGATCCTGAAGGTCCCATAATCGCAGTAAGCTCATGGGAGTGGAACACCCCGTTTACTCCCCGCAAAATTGCCTTTGTCTTTGAAGCTGCAGGAGGGCGAAGCAAAGTTAAAGAGTTTTATCTCAGAATAATAATGATTCATTGTCTGGTAACTTAGCTTTTACTGACATGCATTTCACCGCAATAAGTGTAGAATTAGCTGGAATAATTGCCCTTTAATATGTGCATTTTCTGCATCAGAAAACAATAGGTTTGTGGGAGCAGCAATTACTTTAAAAATTAAGTCCAATTGTCGTTCTTACCAACCCATTAGCAGACACGAATATATTTTTTTAGCAATTACCCAACTGTAATGAGCATGAGCAGAACCTAGCCACTCACCATTGGCCTGATCGGGGACTTCATAGCTTAGTTCCGTAAAGTGCAAATTAACCGTTGGCCAAGATGGCAAATACTTTAATCCGTTGACTGATTGAAAGTCCTCCGAGTGATCGGGTAGTTCAAGGCTGATTGCGTTGATATCGCTGCTATATTGAAGCGAGCTGTTCTGGGAGTTTGTGCTGCCTTTTAAGCTGCTGGCGGTTTGCATCTTGAAATTCCTAGAGTACGTCGTTGTTTCGATGCGATGTCATTGCTCCTAGTGAGGGGTATATAAATGTTTGATAACAAATAATAAAATCACTTCGCATCTGAACAGCTTATAAAAAGTTATTTAGTTTACCGTTCGCCCAATGTTAAGCTACGATGATAACCTTTCGTTGGGGTATATGATCGTACTGAAATTTTTTACTCGGTGCTGTCATTTAATGGCGCAGATTCATTTTTACAATAAGAATCAATTAGTAAACAACACAGTACAAAAAAGTTAATAAGTTTGTTGGTTTAAACCAGTTTGTCAAATTTATCTCGCTTATTTCGTTTGGTTGCTTCTCCAGTCGAGTTAATTATGAGTGGCATTTTAATTTTTCTTGAACCCAGTATTTGCATTTCTAAAAATTGTTTACGCGTATCGGGGACCACGAGTAGCGCCCTCCCTTCGTTCTGAAAACGAACTTCACACTGACCGAAGAACCATTTAAATAACATTAATTTCCCCGAATGAAGCGAAAACGCGCGAACGTTGTCTCTAAGCACAGCCCGGAAAAAACTTAGATTTTCAATTGATGGGAAGCAGTACACAGTACTTACACGTCTGACAGCCCGCTCGAGTTCTGAACGAATGACTGGCGGTCTGATTGAGGAACCGGCGGTCTGGAGCTCGGGCTGTCCGTCTATTCCCCGATCGAACCGGGTGTGGGGGAAAAGCAAGAGTCACGGACTGAAGGCTGAGTAGCCTTAGTTGCGCCCAGCTGCCAGAAACTGGGCAGTAGTTTTGCTATGCACCCACTGCATCACAGAACTTTCGGAGAATTTCAAGTGTTATCAGCGAGTAAGCGCTTGGCAAAAGTTTTATTCGATGCTAGAACTGAGTAGCTAACTGATAGGCGGTCAGTGCGGATGCGCAATATGTACGCTACTCTTTTCACTCTTTTCACTGATTGCGGGCTTCATGTGCTGGTTTCCGCAACGCTTTGTCTGTGGCAAGAATATAGCGGCAGTTTTTAAATACAAATTTATTCGTGCTTCGGTCGGAATCGGGTGCGTGACCATTGGCCCCACTTTTTGATATCACTTAATCATATGTCGAATAGCGTCGCTCGCTGCCTTGCGAATGCTGCTTTTATTATGCGCAAGGTGTGTGTCTATCTTAGGTTGCCTAGGGTATACGATAGGCGACTTGCCGGCAAATCTTTGTCTTTTTCATTTTTGACCGTTGCTGTGTGAGTAATGGCGCATGTTAATGCATTGAAGCGGCGAATGTTGAACTTTGTTTCTGGTGGGGGAATGATAAACATGATAAACACCGCGTTTTTTAAATATATGCACATATGACTATAGAGTAACCATTCACAAATATATCAGCACCTATTTATTTTTAAGGTATGCGCTTTTCTTTGCAAACAAAAATCATTACAAATTATCTTTACAGAATAAACGCCTTGTTCAGAATATAAACATATGTCTGTTATCTTTAAAGTCATGTACCGATTAACCGCTATTTAAATACTGGGCACTGATTACAACTGCCTTGGCTGACCCAGAAATCCATTAAATAATTGACTTGGCTTGTGCCACATAGTTGCGTGGTAATCAGTAGTCTGTAATTTCTAACTTGTATTGTATGCACGCCTGCAAGAACTCTCGCATTCTTGCAGTTGTTCCCGACTTTCGGGTTCAACGAACGCGTTTAGTAGCGGACACCACTGTTTTTACAGCTGCGTAAATGCACCAATTAGAGGCACTCGAGTTTCAGAATGTGGATTGGCGATTGTGGCACTTACTCCACTTTCTTGCCGTCGTTGCTGCAGTTGCTGGCTTTTCACTTGCTTCCACCAAGACATTAGCGAGGAGACGTCGACTTGTTGCATCGACGACGGCAAATGTACTAAAAGCGATTGCAGGAAGAATGCTGCTGCTACTAATAAATTGGCATGGCGCGGGGACCAGCACAATACAAATTCTTCTGCCCTTCTAGGCAGAGAAGCGACGGCTGGTTCCTTCGTTGGAGTGGCTCAAAAACGTGTTTGGCAGCCTCTGGTATCCGCTGCAACAGGATAGGGACAGTCTATTTATACAGACTTTTTTCGCAAATACAAATAGGCGAACGTAAATATGCCCACTTTTTGGCCCATAAATATAATGATTTCTGAGTTATATTAATCAGCAAAGAAGTTTGAATTCCGCAAAATATTTCTTTGCATGAATTTGAAAATTCATTCGCTAAGGGCTGGTTGGATTATGGTGTTATGTTAATCAGCAAAGTAGTGTGAATTCCAAAAAATATTTCGTTGCATGAAATTGAAAACTCGTTCGGTAAGGGCTGCTAGGATTTTGGTGTTACTATACAAACCATTTCTTACACTTCTCAAGCGAAATTTTAAACTAATGGCGAAATAGTTGTTGCAGTTGAAAAAATGTACAACCAATTAGTTTATTTAAAACTATCAAAGCATATGTTTTTTTTGTATAAATATATATTTGATCATAATATGTATTTATTAGTTGTGCTCTTATAACAATCTGCTTTACTTTCTTGTTCATCATTCAAACTTGGTCGTTTTAAACTGTCGGAAAAGCTCTCTTGGGATCTGATCGCGCTATATGGCAGATGGCGCTGCAAGAGCTTTAACACAACAGCACTAGCCAAGAATATATATACTTGATCAAAAAATTCCACTTTCCAATTTCAAGAAAAACGGAAGCTTAATTAACTGACGAGTGAATTTGCCTGGATCATTTCAAATTAGCATGATTTTGCCTTGTTAGTGGCGATGTTTTCATAAATTTAGTATTTAGAAAAATATATACGAGTATATTAGTGTAGGATCAAGTTTTCCTTTACTGTGTTACAAATTTGACCAACATTATAATGCCCATTACAAGGTAATTAAAACCAGTTTTGTGTATAAGTTTTTATTTTCTCCAAGAATGCACTATTTATAAATACAAATGTGATTATAAAATATGTATATGTTGCAGACACTTAAATACCATTTGAATTTGTTGTAAACCTGTATTAAAAAGTTAGTGTAAATTAATTACAAACAGGCTTATACAAGGATTTATTTTTTTTTCTCATTTTGTTTTGGGACACAATTTGTGTTTAAAGGTTTATATTGACAGACATTTACAAACATTTACAAATCGGTAAACACATCTGAAAAGGAAGGAAGGAAGAAATAATTCCATCTTGTGGTATCATATTTATTGCCTGGAGCGCTAGGGCTCCTCTTTCCAAAAGCAGCATATAACAGTCTCAAGTCTTATGGGATCGTCGAAGATTTCTGCAGTCACAGGACAAACAAAAAACACAAATCTTCCAGCGGAGAAGCTGAGGTGCATCTGCAAATATGTGTATGTGTTCCCAACTATTTGCCATGGCCGACAAGGAAATTTTGAGCTGTATTAAAAAAAAGCGCGTGAATACCCAAGAAAAATTTTTTTGGTGGCCAGGTAAAATGTTTTTGTTGTTCATTTCATTTAATAACCATCAAAACTCCTGCAGTTATCTGATCTACTACTTAAAGGATTTTAGAGGCTGTTTAAAAATATCTGGTGGCGCAGGTAAGATGTAGTAGGTGCTTTAAGTTGAATAGACTAATTGGGAACAAGTCGAACTTTAAACAATCACTAGCAGCACACGAGTTTAATTGAACTAAAATAATGAACCCGATTGTGTGTAGGTATATTTTCATTTTAAATTTATAAGCGTGCTTTTCGGGTGAACCATCTGAGCCAGAAGCATAGCGCGTTTTTTTTTACCCTTTACATATTTATAAAAACTTATTTTTGTTTGTCAAATCACATTAAGGCGTAAAGGAATACTCTGGAACTAAATAAATTGTATATAACTTTATAATATTTATTTAAATCTGCCATGTCAAATGCTGTCCCTGAATGAATTCTTAGTCAAGGGATTATATAATTATCGTTTATTTTCTTATTAAAATTTACATCTAATCGAATATTACTCATTTACCTGTATAAATGTTTTATTGAAAATTATAATCTAACTTACAAGTTGTTCTTTAAGAAATTATGGCCTATTTGAATTGAGTTAGACTGACCATCGATCCCGCTTTAAATTATTTGTATAGCACCGGCACCAACAGGTCAAGTTTTTGTTTAGTAATTGTACGAAGTAAAGTTAAAATATTTAGATAACAGTTGTAGGACGTATAAAAAAATCGGATTAGCCGCCGATTTTTTAAGCCGCTGCCGTATCATAATGTACGCAGCAACAGTAAAAAACAAATAGAAGCCAATCAAGCAGGTGAGAGACCACAAATAGTGCATGTCTTGGTCGTTTTAAACTGTCGGAAAAGCTCTCTTGGGATCTGATCGCGCTATATGGCAGATGGCGCTGCAAGAGCTTTAACACAACAGCACTAGCCAAGAATATATATACTTGATCAAAAAATTCCACTTTCCAATTTCAAGAAAAACGGAAGCTTAATTAACTGACGAGTGAATTTGCCTGGATCATTTCAAATTAGCATGATTTTGCCTTGTTAGTGGCGATGTTTTCATAAATTTAGTATTTAGAAAAATATATACGAGTATATTAGTGTAGGATCAAGTTTTCCTTTACTGTGTTACAAATTTGACCAACATTATAATGCCCATTACAAGGTAATTAAAACCAGTTTTGTGTATAAGTTTTTATTTTCTCCAAGAATGCACTATTTATAAATACAAATGTGATTATAAAATATGTATATGTTGCAGACACTTAAATACCATTTGAATTTGTTGTAAACCTGTATTAAAAAGTTAGTGTAAATTAATTACAAACAGGCTTATACAAGGATTTATTTTTTTTTCTCATTTTGTTTTGGGACACAATTTGTGTTTAAAGGTTTATATTGACAGACATTTACAAACATTTACAAATCGGTAAACACATCTGAAAAGATATTAAAATATAAATTTTTTTGGCAAATAAAATGGGTATTGATTTTAATAACTTATATTCCTGTTCGTTTCTTACATCAAAGATGTCGTGCTTCCTGTCGTTTGATTTGATCACTTGTTGTACATTTTGCTTCATCGGCGGCTGAAACCAAGCTTACGTGAGGTGTGAAAACTATTTGTGTTTTTATCACCTAAACGTAATTTTTGCAACTAAACGACTAAAAACTAGGCAAAAATAAATTTTACAAAGATAATTGAATAAGAACCCAAGACGCTTTGAAAACTAAATAGTAGGTACATAAAAAGCTTTTATAACCGAAAACAACCAATAGCGTTAAAGTGCCTATCGCACAGTTTTTAGCTTCCAGCGCAAGAACAGGTACGCCGAGATGCGCAGCACCACGAAGATCACAATTAGAGCCACAATGTCTAGGGTAAAGTTGGCGTTCACCATGTCCAGTTCTTCCAGCGTCGTAGTGGGAGATTTGAAGTGGCAGTAGGTCTGGAAGCACCTCAGCTTTTCACGTCCGTACCCGTAGGTAGCCAGAGCAGTGCCCTCGAAACCGTATCGAATGTACGACAGATAAGTGATCCACCGTAGATACACTGGTATGGCGTCAAAGGACACAAAGA